GCTCGCGCCTAAGGCTCGTTGAGGATTGCCCTTGGGTGTGTTTGCAATCAGCAAGGGATGGCATGTTTTGGACTTGGAGTCCAATCGCCTTGTCACCACTTCGTAGGCCGTCTTTTATGAGAAGATATCTCTTGCTGGGTGAATGGCATGGCATCAGCAAGAGCATGCTGGGCGACCACTGCCCTATGAGCCCCTCCTTTCCCTCTTCCCAGATGTTCTTTCGGAGGAGGTTGAGGAGGCGGAAGTGGCTGTCCCTCCTGCCCTGCCCTTTGTGCCCATCTCTGTGTCGACCCCTTCCCCTTCCTCCGTGTATCCTCGTTTTGCACCTCCTGCCCCACCCGCTCCTCCTCCACCACCCCCCACATCTCCTCCCTCTTCCTCTTCCCCTCCTACTAACCCACCTCCTCCTAACCCCTCCCTCCCTCCTGCATCACCCTCCCCTTCCCCTCCGCTGGCGCTGCCCATCGGTGAAGGGGGTGTGTTGGAGCCTCCATCTCTTGTGCTCATCGATGGACAGCTTCTGACTGCGGCGCAGCAGTAGGAAACGGGAGTAAGGGGAGAGCTGACGAACCTAGTAGGCTTGCAACAGCTGCAACAGCAGCAATAGCAGGGTAAAGGGGATTCACAGCAGCTGGGCGAAGGAGATCAGCAGCAGCAGAATGAAGCCGAAGGGGGAGATTGGAGTGGCAGTCGCAGGTTGGCTTCAGGAACCATCACTCCGGACTTGTGCCGCTCTACCCGCATTACGAGGGGAGTTCCGCCTGTTCGGTATGCATGGGCAGTGGTGGTTGAGCCGGGAGTGGATGATGCCGACGAGGATGAGGAGTGGACTGAGCTTGATCTGGATGTGGAAACAGACCCGGAGAGACAGTGGGAAATTGGGAAGGTGACAGTGCCTGAGGCGTTGGGGTGCTGGAAAGGCGATTGTGTCGAAGAGGCGATGGATGAGGAGATGCGGACGTTACTCGAGCAGGAGACTTGGGAACTCATAACACCACCACCCGGGGTTAACATCATGAAGAATTGCTGGATCCTGAACACCAAGTACCAGCCGGATGGGCAAGTGGAGAGAGAGAAGGCGAGGCTGGTGGTCAAGGGGTTCACTCAAGTGGCAGGAGTGGACTAAGAGGAGACCTATTCACCTGTGGGGAGTTACGTGACAGCACACATACTGCTGGCAGTGGCAGCTCCATTGGATATGGAACTGCTGCAGTTGGATGTGAAGAAAGAATTTCTTTACGGCTTGCTGGACAGAGATCTCTACATGGAACAACCCAAGTATTATGAGGATGGGACTCCTCGTGTCTGCAAGCTGCTGAAGAGCCCGTACAAACTCAAGCAGAGCCCGATGCTATGGTATGAGGCCTTGGATGGGGTGCTGCTTGGGGCTGGATGGTGCAAGAGCCAAGTGGATGAGGCTCTTTACTTCACGAGCAATGATGGGGGTGAGATGTGCTGGCTGCTTGTGTATATGGATGACCTCCTGGCGGCCAGCTGTAGTACAGACCTGCTGGGGGAGCTGCGTGAGCTGCTGCAAGGCGCATTTCAACAGAGAGAGATTAACCCCATCGAGAAATACTTGGGGTTGCACGTGATACGCGATAGGCCCTCCCGGAAGCTGTGGCTGCACCAGTCTACCTACGTGGAGAAAGTGCAGCGGCGCTTTTTGGCAGGGGAGCTGCCTCAGCGTATGCCACGGACCCCTCTCTCCTCCGATCCATTCAGTGAGCTGACATTTGAGGATGAAGGGTGGCAGTCAAGGCAGGAGGAGGAGTATAGGCAGAAAGTGGGATCTTTGCAGTTTGCTGCCTGTACCACACGCCATGACATTGCCTTTGCATGCAGTAAGCTGGGTTCAGGACAGACAGTGCGCAGTGATCAGCACTGGAAGTAGGCATGAGCAAAACCGGGTAATTACCCGACCCGACCCGGTTTTGCTATACCCGACCTCGGGTCGGGTATTTTCGGGTCGGGTCCGGGTCGGGTATTACATCCGGGACCAATACCCGGACCCGCTTTTTAGGGGCGGGTATTTTAATACCCGCCAGGCGGGTCCGGGTATACCCGACCCGACTTAGCATAAAAGTGGGTAATGCTACCCGCCCATACAATAAGGCCTAAACGAGGTCTGTTTTTCTCACACTTTGATTTTCCATGTTCGTCTAACTGTCTCCTAGGGTTGAGACAGCAATATGGTTATGCAAAAAATTGTTCCCTGGATTTATGTGGGTTTGATTTGATGCCATCACCACGATAGTCCTTACTTGCTTAGCTTGTACGGGATTTATGTACATTGCATCAAGATGTATACCTACTATTAATAAAAGGCACACAGTTCACTCTACAGCTGGTCACAATCATTTGACAAGCATGATGCCATGTCTGCATGGCCCTATAGCTCAATGCTGGGTCTGGGCATGGCACAAGCACTCAAAAGTATGACATAGGAAAAACTGTCCATAGGGGCTAACCCTGTACCCACGCCTCACAACCCCTCGTCATCACCCTCAAGGCATAGCCCCCCCATGGCCCAATCCAGCGTCGCCAGTGGGAGGCAGCCGTCGGCGTGTTGTGCCATCCATGACTTGAGAGTCATGGATGCATGCACCTGAACAGTGCTCAGGCGGTGACGCTGCCAGGTGACCACGTTCCGCCCCTGGCTGAACGCCCGCTAGCTCGGTGCCGAGGTTGCAGGGATTGCAAGGTAGTCTCGTGCCATCGCCTGCAACCATGGGTACAATGCGCGCGTGCGCCACCATTCGAGCGGACACCCATCCATGTCCAAGCGCGCCTCCTGCAGGTACCTGTGAACCTCGTCCGGCGCGGCCACTCCCGTTCTTGCCTCCACCTCTGCCATCGCTGAGCCCAGCATGTCAAACAAGTGCCCCCCACCTCGGGCCTTGGCAACACTCCTCCCCCCCCGGCCCGCGCTCCCCTGTGCTCGTCCCCTCCTGGCCCCCGTCCACCGCACGCCTGCTCTGCTCGTCCAGGTAAGACTGCAAGCGCGCCCTGACACATGTCACCACCTATTCCAAAGTGACGTCGCGCACCGCCCTACGCCCCCCAGCGGCCTCTCCCGCTAGCTCAGGGTGGGCCCCCTCCTACCGCTCGTGAAAAATATGCACGCGAATGGGAGCAAACCAGGAATTTGGGAACCACACCTCGAGTCCCGAGAAGTACAGCAGGATGGGATCCTTCAGCTTGAGGAAGCGTTCCACCATCTCATAGGACGACCCCCATCTCGTGGGGGTGTCGCTGATGAGGCGTAGAACGTGGCCGCCCTGACCTGCCAGCCGCAGCTGCTCGTCCTCGAACGCGTCCGAACGCGTCGTGCTCTACCCAATGAACGACGCAATCTCCCGCATACGCTTGAGCGGCTCGAGGACTGCCGGGACAGCAAGAGCCTTCTGGACCGTGAGGTTCAGGATGTGCGCAAGACACCTAAAGGGGGAAAGTTCATGGCATGGCATGGCTTGGTATGGCCCAGCATGGCATGGCATGGCATGGCATGGCATGGCATGGCAAGGCATGGCATGGAACAGCATGGCATGGTATGGCATGGCATGGCATGGCATGGACCAGCATGGCATGGCATGGCATGGCATGGCATGGGATGGCATGGCATGGACCAGCATTGCATGGCATGGACCAGCATGGCATGGCATGGCATGGCATGGCATGGCATGGACCAGCATGGCATGGCATGGCATGGCATGGAATGGCATGGCATGGACCAGCATGGCATGGCATGGCATGTACCACACACCTGAAGAAGAAGCCGAGGTTTAGCACTCGTGGATTGCGGGCGTCCTCGGTCTCCGGATCGCCAGTCAAGATCTTGAGCGCATTGATGTTGTTCTCGGCATCGTCCGTCGTGATGCCGAGCATAGAGTCTTTCAGCCCCCAATCCGATATGACTTTCTCCAACGTCTCTGCTATCAGCACCCCCCTGTGCGATCCCTGAATCTCCTCAAACTCCAGCAGCGCCTGGCGCAGCTGGAAGTCTGACGTGATCCAGTGCGCCGTGACGGCAAGGAAAGCGTCTTGCGTCGGGCTGGACCAAATGTCTGTGGTGAGGGAGACCTTCCCCGCCGCACCATCACCAACAATGTCCTGCAGCTGGTGCTCGTGCGCGGCATCGCCCTGCTCGAGCATGTCGCGAGCGAGGCGGAAACGGGAGCCGAGCAGTTCTGCAGCGGGAGGATTGAGGAGGCGGGTGTAGCGGCGAAACTGGGAAGGGGAGGGAAGGGGAGGGGGGGGGGGGAGAGTTGGTGGACGCGTGCAGAAGTGCCGCTTTACATGGCAGGTGTGAGAATCCATAACGACACGTGGGAGATCGAACATGCGCAGAGGCGAACGCTTTTGTATCTCAGTTCTTACCGAGGGGTGGTCGACCAAGCGGAAAGGAAGGTCCGCGTCTGCGAACAGCTCGACAAGAGTGTGGGGCAGACGCTCTTGCGTGACGCGATAACCGAAGAACTGAGGGATCTGCAGTTGAACCGCCTCAACACCCCCACCAAAACCGCACGTGCCCGCACCAGAGATGTCGGGGTATGCGTCAGCGTGCTCCCACGGGTCTGGTCCGCCTGGCACCATCGGGTACCCCTTCACCGGAAACTCCAACCCTGGCTTCTTGTTGGCATCAGTGAACAGGCGATACCAGATCTGGAGGTGAGGCATGTGGAACGAGCGCATGTGCTTCCACGCCGAACCAGTGCTGCTATCACCCCAACCAATCGGCACCTCTCATACCTTGCAGCATCGCACCCCATCCCCCCCTTCTGGCTGAAAGAACATCCCCTGCATCAGCCCAAGGACAGTACCCCAGTATCCGACTGTCACCTGAGAGCTGTCGCTCGCTCGCAACCGCTTATGCTGTCCACCTGTGCCCCCTCCCCCCCCACCTGGGATTACAGGCCGCCCCGGCGCAGGCGTAGCACACTCCGCATGACCACCCTCCCCCATGCCCTCAGCATCCCCAAAGCACGCTGCATCACCACCACTGACCTCCACTTCCCCCGCACCATTAGTTCCACTACCGGCACCAATCGCCTCTGCCCTCCCCCCACCAGGTCCACCACGGCCGCGACCTCTTCCCCTCCCCCTCCCCCTTCCCCTGCCCTTCCCCCTCGCCCTCCCCCTCCCCCTCCCCCTCCCCTTGGCGCGTCCATCTCCTGACACCTCATCCTCCTGTTCCTCCGCATTGGGATGCCACTCCTGGTCACCCTCGCCTCCCCCTCCCCGTCCACCAACCCGGCCACCATTCCCCCCCCCATGGGTTGCCCCAACCTCGGGCCCTGCATCGCCCGCCTCCACCTCTTCGAGGAAGTCATCCTCCTCTCCCCCCTCATCCGCACGGACACCGCTCGCCAATGCAAAACTCTGGCGGCCGCTAGAGAGAGGGAGGCCTGTTAGAGATGCTCCAGGCATGGCACCGCTCTGGAGCCCACCACCCTCAACCCTCCCGCCCCCGAAAGGGACGGGACGCCCGTCACGGTCGTAGAACTGCATGATGGGACAACCCTAAACCCTAAACTAAGCGCTACAATGGGGAGTGCGAGGGGCCGAATAGGTCATGTAACCCTAGGTCTTCAAAACCCGAAACCCTAAGCGCAGCCAACTCCTCTCTTGGCAATAGTGTAAAACCGCCCTACCTAATGTCGGAAATAAAAGATTTATGGTGCGGGAAGTTTTTTTACGAAAGCGGGCGAGGCTGTTCGGTGGCGCAACTACGGTAGGGACAATACTAAACTAGATCTGGAAAGTTGGGTTGGAAATTTCGACCAAATGGTCAAAATTTCCAACCCTCCCTAATTTTGATCGCGCTGCTGCTGACGGGTAGCAGCACGACCTGATTTCGGGTCGGGTATACCCGACCCGAATTCGGGTAGATACCCGAACTCGGGTATTTACTACCCGACCCGGCGGGTACCCGCTACCCGCGTCGTCGGGTAGCGTTTCGGGTAGCGGGTATCGAATACCCGCCCAGGTAACCCGGACCCGACCCGCCGGGTATTTTTCAGGATTTCAGATACCCGACCCGCCCTAAAAGCGGGTCCGGGTACCGGGTACCCGACCCGGGCGGGTAGTTTGCTCATCCCTAACTGGAAGGAGCTGGAGCCATGTCTGACCTACTTGATGGGGACCAAGGATGCAGCATTGGAATTCAGTGGGGGTCCGGCATCCTTGGAGCTGATAGGGTACGCCAACGCTGATGATGGAGGAGACAAGCAAAACCGAAGAAATACTGGAGTTGACGTCTTTGTGTTTGGCGGTGGTGCAGTTGCTTGGGCGAGTCAGAGGATTCGTTGTGTCACTCTCTCCTCTACTAATTCCGATTATATTGCGGCACTTGAAGCAAGAAAGGAGGCTCGCAGACTGCGCTTCGTTCTGGCAGAGTTTCAACTGCTCAAGTGTGAGGAGCCGACGACACTCTTTGTCGATAATTCGTCTGCAATTGCTGTGGCAGGTGGCATGGGGCTCAAGGGGAGCCTCAAGCACATGGAGCGGCGTCACATGTGGCTGCAGCACATGGTCAAGCGCAGGAAGCTGGATCTGCAGTTCATCCCTACCAGCGAGCAACCGGCTGACTATCTCACTAAAGCATTACATTTCCCAGCCTTTTCCCATTGCTTTGATACAGTGGGACAAGTGAGGACACATGCGATGGCTTTCTCTTCAAGCCCTTTCCATATTTCGCATTGTGGTGCTGGTCCAAGGAAGAGGATGAAGAGCATAAGGCGTGGAAGGAAGGAGAAAGGCTGGGGTGAGTACGACGAATGCGCATTGGCAGCATTCCATGACAATGAGCGTATCTGTGCATACGCTTCTGGCTCTTCGTAGGTTTCTGATTGTGATGGTGCCATGGCCTATCCATGGCTGGTGCGGTGTGTGTTTCAGATGAAGAAATATTGCAAGTGTACTGTTGATGCATAGGACCCTTGCGTGTGTGCTCTGTGTTCCTTTTTTGCTTGTATGCTTGTATGTGTTTGCCCTATGATTATAAAGGGCCTTGCTGTAGCAGTGCAGAGGAGTGTTGGAAGCCCTACTGCAGCTGCGGGCAGCCAGGCATTGACTGACTTATGTCGGTGCACCGATTGCTTGGCAGCTGCGGGTTGGCGTGACCAAGGTGCACGGACAAATCGTTGCATCCGAAGACAAATCTAGTTTGTGTGGACTGGTCCGGAGATGCCCTCGATGACCAGTGACTGTGACGAGTCATGAGTAGTCGTGGCTATCACGATGGATTTTCGTGAGGAGCAAGGCAGCGTTTGCCTTGCTGGTTGGAGTTGCGTACACGGCAAACCCAACCTTCCTGAGTTGGGTTGGACAATGGGGCCAGGCGCGTTCGCCCAACCCTTCGGCCAATTCGGGGTGGTTGGTTACACCCGCAGCGACACGCAACGTTGGTTGGGTTTGCACTTGCCTATATATTTGCATGCTTATTTGTACATTAAACAAATATATATTTTTCTAGTGAACTTCTACTCTAATCGAATTTTGACCGTGTACTTGAAGGCGAACTCTGCCCAAATACCACCGGCACCTAGCACGCTATTCGAATACCATTACTCTGTCAGATTTGCTCCACACTTTACCATTACTCTCGCTTGAGCATTCCTTCAGAAAATCTCGCAAATCCCGTTCAGCAGCGAAAAATTGGAATATAATCGGACGAGTGAGACAGGATTCGTGAGATTCACGAGATTCTCTTCAACTATTGTGTGTTTCCTTGGCGCTCTTATGTGTCTAGATTACGCGTTCCTGGGTAGAGCTATCTGTACTGGACTGGTTGGAGCAACGCATTAGTGTGATGGTGCTTGGCTGGAGGCTCCAGCTAGGATGGGGTTTACGGAGGGGGGGTAGTAGTTTGGAGAAATGCACAAGAGGGTGAAAGGCCTTGTTCAGTGTACAAACTTCAGTAGTAATCTTTTACTAGTTGGTGTTTTTGAAGTTGCTTCCATACTGAACTTTTCATGCAGGCGGCCACGCGGTCATTGTCCATGCATCCCGTTTAGAGTCTCTTCAAATTACGATATGGAAGCTGGGAATCGAGCCACTACAGGTAGGATAGGAAATTACACCAGATAAAGAAAGAGTGTAGCTGTTACACAGAATGCGCATTGATTTGAAACAACCTTACAGAATGGTCGTTTGGACAGGAGGGTAGCTCCAAGCAGCTTCCTTCCCCTTTTACTACGCCCGCCTCCCTACTATCCTCAAACCTCGTCCCTCCTTCCCTGCTATCTCCCCTCCCACCCTCCCCTCGCCATCGCAGCCTATGAACAGCTGCCACGTGACAATGAATGTCATGTTCCGAAGGTAAGATTCCCACGTCAGATTCCCAGGTCACATTCCCAGGTCATATTCCCAGGCCATATTCCCAGGCCGCATTCCCATTTCACATTCTCATGTGAGATTCCCCGGAGATGTTCCCGAGTAGATTCCTAAGTCAGATTCCCAGGTCAGATTCCCAGGTCAGATTTCCAGGTCAGAATCCCATGTCAGATTCCGAGGTGAGATTTCGAGGTGAGATTCCCAGGTCACATTCACTAGTCAGTCAGTTTCCCAGGTCACATTCCCAGGTCAGATTCCCGGGTCTGATGCCCAGGTCACATTCCCAAGATCACTTTCCCAGGTCGGATTCCCAGGTGAGATTCCCAGGTCACAATCCCAAGTCAAGTTCCCTGGTCAGATGCCCAGGTCAGATTCACAAGGTTACATTCCCAGGTCCAATTCCCAAGTCTGATTCCCAAGTCAGATTCCAGAGTCCGTTTCCCAAGTCAGATTTCCTAGTCAGATTCCCAGGTCAGGTTCCCCCGTCAGATTCCCCTCTCAAATTCCCAAGTCAGATTCCCGAGTCCGATTCCTGAGTAAGATTCCACAGTCCAATTCCCATTCCAGATTACCAAGTCAGATTCCCAATTCAGGTTCCCCAATCAGATTCCCAAGTCAGATTCCCAAGTCAGATTCCCGAGTCCGATTCCAGAGTCCGATTCCCGACTCCGATTCCAGAGTCCGATTCCCGAGTCAGATTCCCACGTCAGATTCCCTGGTCAGATTCCCAAGTCAGATTCCAGAGTCGAATTCCCAAGTCAGAATCCCAAGTCATATTCCCAGGTCAGGCTCCCCGGTCAGATTACCCAGTCAGATTCCCGAGACTGATTCCCGAGTCCGATTCCAGAGTCCAATTCCCAAGTCAGATTCGCAGGTCAGGTTCCCCTGTCAGATTCCTAACTCAGATTCCCAACTCAAATTCCCAGCTCAGATTCCCAAGTCAGATTCCCAGGCCAGGTTCCCGGGTCAGATTCCCCAGTCAGATTCCCCAGTCCGATTCCCAAATCAGATTCCTGAGTACGATTCCCAAGTCCGACTCCCCAGTCTGATTCCCAAGTCAGAATCCCAAGGCACATTCCAGAGTCCGTTTCCCAAGTCAGATTCCTGAGTCCGATTCAGGAATCAGATTCCTGAGTCTGATTCCGAGGTCAGATTCCCAGGTCAGATTCTTAAAGCCCGAGTCTAGAATGGTAAAAAACCATGTTTACTGATCATGGAAACAGTGCCAAAAACACTGGACGAAAACAATTTCGGCAAAGCTCCCCTGGCGAAAAATACTTCTCGGCAAAAAAAAAAGGGTCGCTCGCGACACAAAAGGAGCCCAGCAACTTGTAATCAACAGTGCGCAAATAGTGACGACTTTGGGGGTGGGGGGGCAAACTGTACAAAGCATTTCCGACGCAGTGAGTCCCGGCAAAAAATGCGTCTAGAATGGTACCAGGCGTTTTCAACTTCAGTATGAGTGAACAGTACGTTCAAGGTTTGTCTCATGTAGCGAATTTCGCACGCTGCCCCATTTCCCCAGGGGTTGCGACGTGCTGGTCCCCTTCACTAGGTTACCCCAACCTTTCAAAAGCAAGTTCAGGAATCCTGAACTTGATAGCCAACCAATGAAGACTCGGGCTTTAAGTCAGATTCCCAAGTCAGATTCCCAAGTCAGATACCCAAGTCAGATTCCCAGGTCAGATTCATAAGTCAGATTTCCAGGTCAGATTTCCATGTCAGATTCCCAGGTGAGATTTCGAGGTAAGATTCCCAGGTCACATTCACAAGTCAGTCAGTTTCCCAGGTCACATTCCCAGGTCAGATTCCCTGGTCAGATGCCCAGGTCACATTCCCAAGGTCACATTCCCAGCCAGGTCAGATTCCCAGGTCAGATTCCCAGGTCACATTCCCGGGTTAGATTCCAAGGTGATGTTCCCGAGTCAGATTCCCAGGTCAGATTCCCTGGTCAGATTCC